AATTCCTAAGGAAGAAAGGGGCATTTGGGGGAGTTTTTGTCCAATGAAAGGTCTGTGCTCTGTGGGCAGCAGATGCTTTTGGTGAATCTCCTTGGTGGCCCAGGGCCCAGCTTTCCCACCTTTGAACATTTTCGACTAGCCCAGGATACGCACATGCAGACCATCGTGGGTATAATCAGGGGTTAAAGCATCACCGACTCTTTGCAAGATCAGGGCTTCAAAGCAGGCAAGCGAACGCACCAGGCTGCTGGAGGGTGGCGAGCTGGAAGGCACGGATCTGGGGCCTTTTGTAATGAGATATAAATAACCAAGCTCTTCTTGCCGGCAGCGATCTCTGCTGGCTGCCTTGCAGCTGAAGTCAGTCCAGGGGGTTGTCTGACAAACACCCAAGACTCTGTGACTTGGGATCCGGTTGCGAGGTCCCAGGTCCTTCGCACTGCTTGGCCACACTGGGCCCAGGGAAAAGTCCCAGCTCCTTCCGATGGCATCAGGGGGGTTCTCCAGGGCCCTGCATCTAAGCCTAGAGGCAACGTGAGCTCGTCTCTTTAGGACGGGGCAAGGAGTTCAGACCCTTCATGCTGTTTTGGGGGAACAATCAAAGCTTTGCAAACTGGGGAAGGGAAAAACCTGTATCCAGTTTACATCAGAGGGGCTGAACGCCCAGGCTGGGTGTTGCCCTCCATCTCTGTGTGGACCTGGGCAGTGGCCGTGGAGGCAAAGTGTGACCAGCCCATGCTCCTTGTCTGTCTTTAGGCCAGCTCTCTGCATGGAAGTGGTGAGTCTGGCCTGGTAGGAGGCAGAAGCTGTGGATGAAAACCATACGGTGACGTACCCCTCCTCGCTCCAAGAGCACGGCAGCCTGAGGCAGGGGCGGGAGGAAGAGGTCTGCAAGAGCAGTGCTATTTATTCCTCAGCCCTAAGCCTCTGTCGGATGATAAGGGACACAGTTGTCATGGCCTGGCGGGTGCGAGGCGAGGGGATACGTTCCAGGCCTCCTCCCTGTCCCCACCCCGGTGCCTGTGCACCACGCGCCGGTTCTGCCTCGTTACTAAATAAGGATGAGCTGCCACCACCGCCGGGCTGCTAGAAATAGCTCCCAGCCAAGGGTTCGGGTGACCCCGGGGACCTTCACCTTGTGGAGTCAGGGCTCCTCCTCTCCTGTGCTCTCCAGCCCTCCAGGGTGGCAACCACAGGGCTGCTGAGCACCTGGGAAGGATGCAGCATGCTCCATTGCCACGGGGCAGCCGGGCTCGCTTGTATTCCCGACATCCCATCTGGATGAGACATTCCCACCGCTCCTGACCCTCAGTCCCTCGGGCTGTTTCATCAGTGTCCTGGGCCCCATCCTTAGAGATTTAGGCTGGAAGAGACCTCCACAGGTCACCTAGTCCAACCCTCTGCCTGAGGCCGGATCAGCCCTGTCTGAACCATCCCGGACAAATCCATAGTCTAACCTCTTTGGAAAACCATCATCACCCCTGACGCAACACAAGGCGTAACCCCCAAACCTGCCATAGGGAAAACGGGGACGGCGGCAGCCAACGTCCAGCTGCTGCAAAGGTTGTTCATCAACACAGATCTCGGGTTGAGACCGTGCCCCCCCAGCTACAGAGGCAGGCAAAAAGCCTTGTGGTCCATGCCAATCTGATCATGGGGTAAAATTCCTTCCTGACCCCAAATGCAGCATTGGTCTGACTCTGAGCAGAGGGGCAAGATCCTTTAGTCAGGACCCTATGGGCTCATGTCCCAGCAGTGGCACTGGCACAGCCCAGTCCCTGTCCCCAGCCTGGGCTGCAGCCAGCACCCAGTGCCTCTGGGCGAGGCTTCAAAACACGTGGATGCAAGTAGGGGCATGAGAAATTGCCTCCCAGACCCATCCTGCAACCAGCAAAGCCTGGGGAAGACCCACAGCACAGGCATAGCTACACCTACATCATCCCTGGCCAACCTCTTCCCAACCATCTCCAGTGATGGAGAGTCCACACCGTCCCTAGGCATCTGTCTACTCCATTGCCTCACTGTTATAACAGTGAAGAAGTTTTTTTTCCCCTGAGATCCAACTTAAATCTCAACCTCAATCCTGGGAAGGAGCTGGTACCAACTGCTGGTAGAGGCAAGCCTGGGCTAGTTGGACCAGATGGAGCAGGGCCGTGCCTCTGGTCCTGCTCCTCCTGTAGCTGCACGTCGCCTGTTCCCTTTGCAGGAGATGCAGGATATTTATGGGGGCAGCAGCTCATCTTGCCCCCCAGAACAGCTCACTGTGCTCCCCCTTCTGTCTGCCCCTTTGCCTCCTATCTGGGATGCAGCCTGGGCACCTTCTTGCTGTGTCGATCACCCACAGGCTTGTTTTGCAGCTACTGGGAGCAGCACATCCTGTGCTGCAGGGGCTGGGCTTGAGGTCCTGTCCAACTGGGGGATGCTCTGATATCTCATTAGTACTATTAGAAGATTGGAGTGAGCCTGGGCTGAGCTGCTGGGCAGAAGACTGGCATGCAGAAAGCAGCTCAGCCATCAGGGGTCTTGATCCTATACAAATGGTATTACTAGATTGGCACCCAGAGCGCATAGTGGGGCTATGAGAGCCAGGGACTGTGGCCGGACAGGCAAGATTAGCAATGCAGACCCCCTTCTTGCAAGAGTCACTGCTTCCCACAGGAGACGGGGAGTACAGCTGAGGGATCCTTCATAGGGCATTGCAGTAAAGCGTGTTAGGCCAGTGCCCATTGTTACCGACAGTGGACTCTGCAGAAGGAGAGGATGCCATGTCACCTCCTGGCTTTGAAGGGTGGCTTTTCAGTCCCACAGAGAGGAGGAGATGGTTGCTGTTGCGCTTAGCAAACCAGCGTGAAAGACCCTCTTGACTCATGATTGAAGAATTTTTTTGGAGGGACACTGACCCCCTCCTGCTCCAGGAGGCCCAGGCAAAACAGGCTCCTGATGCCCTTGTGCATGCCTCAGCAGAGGACTGTGGGCTCTGCATGGCCCGTGGCCTGGGGATTTTCCCAGGAAACTTGTTTTTTTCCAGTGAGGAAATGCCGATTCCTGCAGATGGAGTCGCTCAGACCTGCCTGGAGACACTGTACCATCGGGTGTCTCCTGGAAAAGGGCGGTGCAAAGGGCTTCTGGCCTCATGCTGGGGGCTCGCTGCTACTCAGGGGAGGCTGCAAGGATCTGCAGGGCTCCCGGCCTGCGCTCTAATGGCCCAAGGCACCGGGGAGGCTTCTTGGATCTGTGTAGGGATCCCAGTCTGCACTCTACTGATGTGACCCCCTCCTGCAGGAGACCTGCAGGGATCCCAGGCTGTGCTCTAGGGGTCTGAATCCTGGGGGAGGTTGCAAGGGATCTGCAAGGATCCCAGGCTGCATTTGGTGCATCCAAACCTTTGGGGGAGGCTTGAAGGGATCTGCAGGGATCCTAACCTGTGCCCCATGGGTCCAAGCCTCTGGGGAGGTCACCGGGGATCTGCAGGGATGCCAGGCTGCGCTTGGTGAGTCCAGCCCCCTGGGGAAGTTGCAGGGAATCTGCAGGGATCCCAGCCTGCCCTCTATGGATCTGAGCCCCTGGGGAGGCTGCGGGAATCCCAGGCTGCACATGGTGAGTCCAAGCCTCCAAGGAGGTTGCAGGGGATCTGCAGGGATCCCAGCCTGCCCTCTATAGATCCAAGCTCCCGGGGAAGCTGCAGGGATCTCAGGCTGCACTCAGTGAGTCCAACCCCCAGGGCAGGACAGGTTGCAGATCTACAGGGATCCCAGGTTGTGCTGTATGGGTCTGAGCCCTCCTGTGGGGAGGTTGCAGGGGATCTGTAAGGATCCCAGGCTGCCCTCTATAGATCTGAGCCCCCCTGGGGAGGTTGTGGGGAATCTGTAAGGATCCCAGCCTGCCCTCTATAGATGTGAGCCACCCCGGGGAGGTTGTGGGGGATCTGCAGGGATCCCAGCCTGCCCTCTATAGATCCAAGCCCCTGGGGAAACTGCAGGGATCCCAGGCTGCACTCAGTGAGTCCAACCCCCAGGGCAGGACAGGTTGCAGATCTATAGGGATCCCAGGTTGTGCTCTATGGGTCTGAGCCCTCCTGTGGGGAGGTTGTGGGGGGATCTTTAGGGATCCCAGGCTGCCCTCTCTAGATGCGAGCCCCCCCGGGGAGGTTGCAGGGGATCTTTAGGGATCCCAGGCTGCCCTCTCTAGATGCGAGCCCCCCCGGGGAGGTTGCAGGGGATCTTTAGGGATCCCAGGCTGCCCTCTCTAGATGCGAGCCCCCCCGGGGAGGTGGCAGGAAGGATCCCAGGCTGCACTCGGCGCCGAGGGAGGTTGCGGGGGATCCCGGGCTGCCCTCGGTGCACGCAAGGCCCGGCTGCGGCTCCTCCCCCGGGCGGGCGCGGGGCCGGGCCAGGCGCTGATGCTTTCCGCCGCCGCCGGGGAGGC